AGGGTGAAATCCAGAAAATCTATCCGTTTAATGTCTGCCGTAAAAATATTCTTAAGACCTAAATTATTAAACACCTTATGGATCATTTTTCTAATGCGATCGACCTTAATTTTAGTAGAGTCTTTAACTAATAAGTAGCTATCATCTATATATAATGCTACACTATCATAATCTAGGCATTCAAAGGTACTTATATTTTATAAAAGAAATAATCTCAGCAATTTAGAGTGTTCAGCATAATCTAAAGTACCCACTGAGTTGTCAAAATTATCACGGGAAATCTGTTCTTCATTGTAAATTAGAACATAATAACGGCATTTCAATATTATATATATATATATATATATATATATATATATATATATATATATATATATATATAGGGGATTCAGAGGAGCATAGATCCATCCAGCTCTTATCTCAAATAACAACGTAAAAGAGACTGTTTGACCAACACAAGGAATGTTAAAAGATTCATGTTAAAAAGATAAAAAAATAAATGAAAACTACAGACAAAAGTTCATTTTCTCCATCAAGGCATACATTTCTGTAGTTCACTGCTACCAGCAAGCAGAAATATTTCTTCTCATGGTAATGGCCATTTTGGTCGAAACTAGTCGAGGAATCTAAATGAAATAATAATAAAAAAAAGAAAGAATATTAATCTACAACCCAGTGTGTCTGAATATTTTAATCTTTTAATTTTTTAAATATTTTTTATCGTTCAATACATATATATATATATATATATATATATATATATATATATATACACACACACACACACACACATATATATATATATATATATATATATATATATATATATTTATTTATTTAAAACAAGAGCCTAAAACTTCAATATAATTATTTGAATTAAATTGAATTAAAGTAAGCTCTGTTCTATCTTCAAGGAAAATTTTTTTGGTAATAACTTATTTCTGAAATTTACGTGTTTTAATAGCATATTCATAATTGAAATCAAAATTTCCATAGTAACAGCCAGGTTGATTGTTTAAATAGGGAGGTGTGTTGGGTGTTAATAATATGTATCAAATTAATTCAAATAATTATATTGTAGTTTTAGGCTCTTGTTTTGAAACATGAGACCTCTTATGTAGCGTGTTGGAATCATATTGTTAAATAAATAATTATATTTATGCTCTACTTTTGTATCGGACACTATTTTTTAAAAATAATAACAAAAATACTAAAGAACTTTTGGATTATTTACCTAACCAGTTCTTTCCTATTTTCACACACACACACACACACACACACACACACATATATATATATATATATATATATATATATATATATATATATATATATATATATATATTAGAATGAATATCCTATGCGTGGATTTGTAATTATTAGACCTATGTTTTGCTCTGACTTTTCTAGTGCAGTTTTCATAAATGTACAAAGTAGAAACGGTATCCAATACATTCCCATCTACTCGAATAAAACAGACACGGCTGACAATTACCCATCAACTCTACAACAGGTCATTTTACTTTTATATTATATGCAGTGATGTTTACCAATTTTTCACAGCTAAAATTCCCCCTGAAACTCACACTAATCTAATTCTCTTGTGCGTCAATCCTTTACATTATTATTTACGCCCCGAATGTTTCTTATCTGGCGTAATATGCAAACTAAAACTCACGTGAGTTCACGCTTCTTATAAATATTAACAGGATCAAATCCTCCAGCCGGCATTAAACCTGAAACCTTGATATGGAATATTTGCAACACGCCGTTTTTATTTATTAGTTGTACTCATAATTTTCTTTCTTTTTATGTGACGTGTCTTTTCAGGATGTAGGCGATCATGTCTCTTTACCCGCCTCTATGCCTTGCAGCTCTCAACAAGTTCCTTTCCTCTGCTTCCTTCTCTCAGGCCACGTTCTGTCATCCACTTTCTTAAGGCCGCTAGGTATGTCATGCGTTGTTTTCCCTTGTCTGTCTTTCCCTCTATTCGACCCCTGAGTATCAGATTCTCCAGGCCCACCTTCCACAATATGTTTCCCAGGGACTTCAGCTGCCTCTTTTAAATATAAACCTCCTCCTTGTTTGCATCCTCTCTCAGACTTCATCATTGCTCACACAATCGGTCCATGATATCCTCAGCATCCTTCGGTAGAACCAGATCTCCGCCGACTCAAGTAGAGTTCATCTTTGAGGAAATCGTCCAACAGTCACTGCCGTAAAGAAGGTCAGATGTCACGTAACAGCTCAGTATTCTTTTCTTCAAAGAAATCCTCCTGTCTCGCAATACTCTGCCCAGCTTTTGGAAATCGTACTTTGCCATCGCAATACGTCTACGAATGCATTTACTGTCTTCTTTCAGAATGCTTCCCAGATATTCCGCATCTGCTTGATTCTAGTGTTCCTGACCTGCAAATTGTATTTCGAGCTCATCTTTTTACTGATGACCATGAAGCATTGTGTTTTCTTTTACTTTATGCTTAGTCCCTTCTTCACACGGAGTTGAGTGAAACTTGAATTTTAGAGGAATTTTTTATCAGATTATCAAACTTATAATGCTATCTTTTATTTGAGCCTCATCTGAGATTGAGTAACCTGAACCTTCATCAATCTCACACGCTTGGTCCATGATATCCTTAGCATCCTTCTGTGCATCCACATATCCGTCGCCTCGAGTTCCATCTTCATTTTGAGGAAATCGTCCAACATTCGCTGCCGCAAAGGACAGATGTCACGTAAAAGCTCAGTATTTTCTTCATTACTAAAGAAATCCTGGTGTCTTGAAATAATCTGTCCAGCTTTTGAAATGCGTCCTTGGCCATTCCACTACGCCTACGGATCTCATTGTCGCACTAACCGTCCTCTCTCAAAACGCTTCCTAGATATTTAAACTTCCGCGTCTGATTGATTCTACTGTTCTCGACCTGCAAATCGCATTTCGATCACATCCTTTTACTGATTAACATGCATTGTGTTTTCTTTTAGTTTATGCTTAGTCCCTTCTTCACAAGGGGTTGAGTGAAACTTGAATGTTATATGAATTTTCTATCAGATTATCTAACTTATAATGCTATCTTTTATTTGAGCCTCATCTCAGGTTGAGTAACTTGAATATTTCTCAATCTCTCCAGATAATTATGAAATACTAGATTTTTCTTTTTCCTTATTTTCATTGCCTGAAGTCTATCAGAATATACAAAGATTTAAATCTAAACAATTTAGAAACAGAAAAATTAGAATACCTTATCTAATCTAATAAGAAACTGCTAAAAACGTGTACAGCGTTTTGTGAAAATGAAGACCGTGCTGTTCAAACGTTGTTTCAGATTGATTGATTTTGTTTAACGGCATGTCAACATCTCTGTGGGTTATTTAATGGCGAATTCTAAATATTTTCTATATAATTTTATACATTCAAGGTAAACGTATATTTTATTTTTAGATTTATATCATGTAGATAATAAAATGTATTGTCGGTAATTGTTTTAAAATGTATTGCTAGTAATTTCATTACAAAAATGTATTTTGGGGATTGTTTTTTTACAAAAATCTGTATATCCATTAAATATTTTGTGTAATTCGGAATTTTTAGGGAAATGTTTATTAAGCAATTCGAAAAATATTTTCCCTATCTTACATGTTATCTCTAAATTAAAAGGGGCGTTAAACCAAATAATTTTTTTATCTTTTCCTCGAATTCTTTTCCTTCAGTTGGCGTTTTACTTGCTGTTTAAATTTCTGTTTATTTTTATACTCCTCTTCTTTTAACAGTCCTGGGTATGACGATCAACTACATCTGCGTCCTGGGTAAGCCGGTAAACTACGTCCAACAGCAAGTCCTCTGATCAGGAGGATTTGAGCAGTGTGGAACCACCTGTTAATTGCTGGTGTTCCTATGTCCACCCTGACCTGGGTGGTAGCACCTGTTAGGGTCCCAGCTATAGGTAAATTGTTAACCCCCAAACAAGGTTTAAAATACTATGAAAGTGTAAAAATAGGATTTAATACCAGAAATACTTTGTAAAAAAATATGTTACCAGCAATACATTTTTGAAAATAAAATATTACCAGAAATATATTTTGGAAAAAAAAAGTCAAAAAAAAATGAGTAATTGAAAAATGGTTCAAATATATATATATATATATATATATATATATATATATATATATATATATATATACATACACACCTATTTTTTACCCAACTATCGCTATGAATCTATTTCAAAATTTTGTTGGCATTAAATGATCCACTGAGATTGATATGCATAAAGCAAAACAACCAAGCGTTCTCTTATTTTAAAGCCTCTTATTTTAAAGCCTTATCATACTCTTTCTTTTTTCATCAAAAATTATTTTACAAGAAGAATTTCTGGATAGCCTACACTCTTTTCTTTTAGGGATGTACTTGATTATCCTCGTTCACGCACCACAGATTTTTTTGGGTTTTTTGGGGGTGTTTTTTTGGGTTTTTTTTTGGGGGGGGTCATGTCTGGGGAGAAACTGGCAGTTTGTAGATTTAATTATACATGTAAAATTTGAACAATCATATACATATCGACCTCTATTTCAAAGTCGAAGCGTTTGCAGAGTTTGAAAAATTTGTTCTTATATTGTCATTTACTCTTCTGTTGTCTGGCACTATTATCAGCTCGTCATCCCTATACATGCTGGGGTGTCTATGTGTTCTATTTCATTGACCTCATATAAAATATACAGGCCCATTAGTTCTGAAACACACACCATCAAACGAACCTTGTGGTACATCGAAGTCGCCCTTTTTATTTTTTTAATCCATGCTTCTCCATTGTGGAAAAGTATTGATTTACATCAATGCAAAATTATATTTATTTGATCAGGTGGTAGGTATATTGAAAAAAACCCTTACTAAATCTAAAACCTCAAGCAGTCCTTTTTAATATATTGATGAATAAGAATTCTTGATGTCATATTTTATGAATACGTTTTTATCTTTATTTTTAATTTCAGAGAAGAACGAAATGCACTCAATTGTGTCCTTCCATTGGTTGGCTTGCAAAGCGATCCTTAATAAATGTTGTAACCTAGAAAAGGATATTGAATGAAGAATAACCGAAACGGAGGTTGGAAATGAAATGGTATTCTTCATAACATCAACAAAATACAATACTCGCTAGTGGTGTGAAGTAGGTAAACCACTGCTAGTGGTGGACTACTTAGACAGCATATAACCTCCACTTACAATAGTGTCCAGCGTATTTAGGAGGATTGGGACATAATCATTAGTGTTCATAGGTACGGAATATAACAATATGTCAAATCTTTTAAGGGTTATCCAATACAGATTTCGTCGAGTAGATTAGTCGAAATGAAGGATTATTGGAAACATCACCTTTATGGTCTTTTTTTGTTGAAAATGCTTGCTTACCACAGACTACAGTGCGGCCCGAAAATCTTGTCACCAATTAACATAAATTAATGAGAGCAATAGAATCACAAGTAATACAGTAATACAAAAAGCACACGTACTGAGTTCAGTTTATTCGCGTTCATTGACGCTGTCCCATATCGAGAAGGTTTGTATGAACACCATCATTTTCGTGTCAGCCATTTGAAATAGAAAATTATACGATGTAGGCGCGACAAGACTTTCAGACGATCTTGTATAGGACCCTGCCGCTTATGTCCAGTTCGACTGTGATGTTTTTTGCCTCTTCATTTATAATTTTACTGTGCAAATCCCATACGTTTTTGTAAAATTTAGTGAACTCTTCATTTATTTCTTTCTCGTAAGTCTTCGATCTTTTCATATAAATATTCCTTGTTTTGTCTCAAACTGTGTCAAGAGGAAAAATGAAGTAAAATAACATTCCCAGACCAAAAAATTCCACTAAATGTCATAAGTAATATCTGGATGTATATACACTAAAAGTACTTTCTGAGTTTGTACGAACCGGGATGAAAGTATATACAATTTACTCATTTGACAATACAATTTCAATTTCCTTGCCTTAATCCTCCCCTTCAATTACACTTTATGTTGTGCGTTCATATATGAATAATGAAGCATTAGAAAATCGTTTGTCTTATAACGAAATCCCTTGCGTATATTTGTTCAATTTCATCAATTGAAAACCCCAGGATTGTTAAAATATATATTGGGAGCACAAAGAATTCTTTTAAAATACGCGTGTATAATCATCTCTCATCCTTTACTAATGCTGACTAACGAAATATGGCTCCACTTTCTAAATATTTTAGGAAATTTAAAGAGGAAAACGAAACAACTAAAGTTAAATGGAAAATTCTAAAACCAGAACCAGTAGATATTAGACGATTCTTCCTTTCTCTACAGGAGAAAATGCAAATAATTATACTTTTGAATAGCGATCAATTAAATCAGAGATTTGAAACTACGGTAAATTTCAGGCATATTAAGAAATTAACCTTACAATCTTGCTAAACCTTATAACTCAATAATCACTCTTCCTAGGTTATATTACCGTTATATAAACATTTTAATGTTATCTTTAGGGGTTTATTCTAGATTAAGGTATAAAATAGGTTAGTATTCGTAAATTAATGGTATTAAAGTTAGCCGTGAATTGGCTTTTAATTATATTACTGGTGATGTTGTTTGATAATAGTTTTTAATTTAAAATTAATATATAAAAGTCATATAAATATTTAAAATGTATTTTGTATTCTAATTTATAATGTAATGTTGTTATAGTTGAGTAGTTTTTCTGCTTGCATATGGTTTTTCTTCTTAAAGTATCTTTTATTTACGTACTATGCTTAAATGTGTTTAAATATGTGATTTCATTCAAAATGGCATAAAGTTTGAAATGCTAAATGTGTCTAAAATATGTTCTATCTTGTCACGTTAAATTTCGGTTTAATTTTGAATTCTCCGACTTAACGTATCTTCATTGGCTCAACTGGTATCAACAATTCCTCATATCTTGTATTCTTCTCTTTCTTTTTCCTTTGTGTCTGTAAAATTTGAAAATAGCACATTTTTTTCCTTTTGCTTTTTTTTCCCTTCTCTTTGTAGTAGGGTTGATTTCTTACGCTTTCTTGTGTCTTTCGTTTCTTTCTTCTTTTTATTCCTTTTATTGATTTCTTCTCCCCTTTTTTTATCTAATCTGTTTTTTTTCTTCCTTTTCTTTTATGTATTTTTCGATATATTTGTTTCTTTGCCTTCTATGGAAAATTTTCAAATATGCAATAAGAGGTGATCGTATAAGTCGTATTTTTAAATAAAATCGTTTATTACTACAAATGTTAACGACCTGATGAGATGTCTAAAACAAATATGAAATTTTGTTGTGGCAACTCGCATGTTCCAATGCACGGTTTATAATAA